CACACTAACCAACATTAACAGGAGTTTGGAAGAAGTTGATTCCATCCCTCATGGATGACCTGGAGGGGTTCAGACTCCAGTGGAGGAAGGAACTGCAGATGTGGTGGAAACGGCAGGAGAGCTAGAATCAGAAGACTGAAGATGTGACCGAATTGCTGCAGTCCCAGGATAAAACCTGAATGGATGCGGAGTTGTTTCTTATGGATGAACAAAGAAAGTGGACTCTTGAGATGGAATCTACTCCTGGTGAAGATGCTGTGAAGATCACTGAAATGACAACAAAAGATTTCAAATGAGATTTTTTTTTATGCTTTATCAACATAAACTGTGTTGATAAAGCAGTGGTAGAATTTGAGAGAAACGACTCCAATTTTGAAAGAAGTTCTACTATGGGTGAGATGCTATCAAACAGCGCTGCATGCTACAAAGAAAGTGTTCCTGAAAGGAAGAGTCAATCCATGTGGCAAACGTCACTGTGGTCTTTATTTTAGAAACGGCCCCAGCTGCCCCGACCTTTGGCAACCATCACCCTGATCAGTCAGCAGCCACCAGCATGGAGGCAGGACCTTCTACCAGCAAAAAGATTAAGACTCATTGAAGGCTCAGATGATGGTTAGCAGTTTTTAGCAATTTAGTATTTTTAATTAAGGGAGGTACATTTTTTTAGATATGCTATTGCACACTTAGACTACAGTGTAGTTTAAACATAACTTTTATATGCACTGGGAAACAAAAATATTCATGTGACGTTTTATTGCGATATTCACTTTATTGCAGTGGTCTGGACGCAAACCCCCAATATCTCGGAGGCGTGCCTGTAGATCTGTGAAAGAGTCGTGAAACCTTTCCGTTCACCACTAGGGGGCACCAAAGGACAATGACAATAGAGCAAAATGAAAAAGGCTGGCGCTGTTACCAAAGATGTATCTTGTTTCTTGTCTGGAGTTGAAGTTATCTACTTTATGCCATTGTTGGGTTCAGGGCGGGACAAAATATGCCATCATGGCATGTTGACTATTTTGAATTAAAGTAATTTAAGAAAGAGCTGAGGCAAGAGGGAAATTTTGACCCTCCTGTCTCCCTGGAAGCAGGAAACAAATCTCCCCTGTGAGAGGTGGATTCCTTGCCTGCGGGGTAGAAGGGCACCCTTATCACCAGCAATGGGGAACGGGGGGGCTGAGAAACCTGTATAAACACACCTTGTTGCTCCTTTACTATCCAAACCCAAACTCTGTTTAGATTCTTCACTAACTGAGCACCCAAAGCTTTCTTTTCGCTGTCAATTTCTCACAGAGTTATTGTTTCTTTGTCTAAAAATTATAAAAGCTGCCTCTCTGGCCACTGCCAAGGTCCCATTTCTATGAGACCTCAGTGGCACCATTAAAATGTGCTTCTTTTTCTTCTGTTATTATGTCTTGTGTCGATTTTATTATTAGTCCAGCCACAAGAACTCAAGAGGGATAGAAGGGGAAATCTCCCCTCTAACATCATCATTGGCTTGACCTGAAGCTCTTGGGCTGGTAGTTCTCTTCCAAAGATCATTTACTTCAGGACGATACATAAGGATCCTGTAACGTTTCCCAATAAAATCCTTTCAATCAAGGCAATGATAGTTTTTCTCCTGATTTTTGAAAGTTCAGTCTCTTTCAAAAGACTAAATTTCCAAGTTTCCAATCATGTGGAGGCTGAATAGGTGGATATTTGGGGAAGCTTGCTTATACCTATTGATGATAAAACTGGACACGTCACAGAAGTCCTCTGTAATACTTAGAATTGTAAGTGTGCAATATGGCAGAGTCCACAACCAGAAGTGATTTCCTAAATGCATGGGTTACTCTATGTGATAGGGACAAACTAAAGGGACAAAGTAGTTGATTAAGTAGTTAATCCCACTAGGGGACTGCAAGTAAAGAAAGAAGTATGGGACACCCCTGTAAGTTAATGATTACTCAAGAAAGCAGGTTTTGGAAGAAATGGACAAATTCTTAGAAAGGTATAACCTTCCAAGACTGAACCAGGAAGAAATAGAAAATATGAACAGACCAATCACAAGTAATGAAATTGAAACTGTGATTAAAAATCTTCCAACAAACAAAAGTCCAGGACCAGATGGCTTCACAGGTGAATTCTACCAAACATTTAGAGAAGAGCTAACACCCATCCTTCTCAAACTCTTCCAAAAAACTGCAGAGGAAGGAACACTCCCAAACTCGTTCTATGAGGCCACCATCAACCTGATACCAAAACCAGACAAAGATACTACAGAAAAAGAAAATTACAGACCAGTATCACTGATGAATATAGATGCAAAAATCCTCAACAAAATACTAGCAAACAGAATCCAACAACACATTAAAAGGATCATACACCATGATCAAGTGGGGTTTATCCCAGGAATGCAAGGATTCTTCGGTATACACAAAGCAAATTTTAGGATTACTTGTTCTAGTTCTGTGAAAAAAGTCCTGGGTACTTTGATAGGAATTGTATTAAATCTGTAGATTGCCTTGGTTTAGTATGGTCATTTTAACGATATTAATTCTTCCACACCATGAACACTGTATATTTTTCCATCTGTTTGTGTCATCTTCAATGTCATCAGGGTATTATAGATTTCCAAGTACAGGTCTTTTATCTCCTTAGGTAGGGTTATTCCTAGGTATTTTATTCTTTTCAATGCGATTGTGAGATTGTTTCTTTAATTCCTCTTTTGGGTAGTTTGTTGTTACTGTCAGTTCATCTTTTAACACATTGATGAACCAATATCTATAACTACTAGGAACTAAAGACCACACTTTATTCAGATTTCCTTAGTTTTTACCTACTGTTCTTTTCCTGTTCTGGGGTCCTGTATTACGTTTAATCATCATATCACCGTAGGCCCCTCTTGGCTGTTGCAGTTCCTTAGACTTTCCTTGTTCTTTACCTTGACAATTTTAAGGAGTACTGGTCAGGTATGTTATAAGATGCCCCTCAATTGACATGTGTCTGATTCTTTCCTCATGATTAGACTGGAGTTTTGAGTTTGGGGAAAGAAGCTGGAGAGGTGATGTGCCATCCCATCATATCAAAGGTGTGTACAATCAACCTGACTTCACTCTCCATGGTGACCTTGATCACTGTAGCCAAGGTAGGCCTGTCAGGTTTCTGCACTGGAAAGTTACACTCAAACACCCTTCCAGACCTGCAGTCTTGGAAGTCAGTCACTCTGTGCAGCCCACACCTAATTAAAACACAAGGAATCAGGTTCCACCTCCTGGAGGGCAGAGTATCTGCATGCATTACTTAGAATTTTTCTGCTTAGGAAGTTTGTCTATTCTCCCTGGCTTATTTATTCAGTCATTTATTTGTATCAATATGAACTCATGTCTCACTAATATTTTTAAAGAACCAGCTTCTGGCTTTGTTTTTCCTAGTGTTTTGTATTCCATGGGTTTCTGCTCTAACCGCTTTATTTCCTTAGTTGTTGTTTCCTTAAGATGATTCTGTTTTCTCTAATTTGGGGAGTTGAACATTTACCTCATTTGTTTCATTCTTTCTGATAACTGTAGTATGAGAAGGGGTCAGCAAGTTTCCTCCGCAGCTCCCTCCACCCACCCAGGCATCCTCTCCAGGGCTCTGGAAACACTGCTAGGCTTGGGTGTGAGACTCCAAGTCTGCTCCCATGGCTGCCATTTCTCTAGGGATGTGAGCTGCTCCACCCTCCTGACCGTCCTCTTCTAGGATGCTTTGCATTATATAAACATCCCACTCCCTTTAAATGTCCATGGGGCTTGCTTTGCCATAGAAAGACAACGAGTTACTTTTTTGTGTGTGTGGTACGCAGGCCTCTCACTGTTGTGGCCTCTCCCATTGGGGAGCACAGGCTCTGGATGTGCAGGCTCAGCGGCCATGGCTCACGGGCCCAGCCACTCCACGGCACGTGGGATCTTCCCGGACTGGGGCACGAACCCGTGTCCCCTGCATCAGCAGGCGGACTCTCAACCACTGCGCCACCAGGGAAGCCCCCCCCCCATTATTTTTAAGAGAAGTATGGCATTTCCAAATGTGGTCAATTCCTAGTCCCGAGAGCTGATCCCAGAGTTAGCCACCAGATGGAGGACCATCTTATCAATTACACATCCGGCTAGTTCTGTAAAAGTCACACAAAAGGCCTCTTGCCTCAGAGTTTTACCAGTTTCCCAAAGCACTCTAAATGTTTAAATTTCCTGTACATAACCATATTTATAAAGGGAACAGGTTAAAGGAAAAATAAATAAGCTTATTTATCCACATCATTCAGCAAAACCATCTATTCAAGACTTGGGACTTCCCTGGTGGTTCAGTGTAAGACCAGGCTCCTGATGAAGGGGGCCCTGGTTCGATCCCTGGTCAGGGAACTAGATCCCATATGCCGTGTGCATGCCGCAACTAAGAGTCCACGTGCTGCAACTAGAAAGATCACATGCCGCAACTAAGACCCAGGGCAGCCTAAATAAATAAATATTAAAAAAAAAAAGAAGCTGAGACTTACAACCCCCATGAGTAGTGGGTGAGAATTCCACACCTGCCCCCAGCCTTGCCCCGAAGCCAGAGCCCCCAGAATGTCTCCTGAGGGAGACCCTGGTCCTTGTTTAGTCCTAAATGGATTCGTTAGTTCTTTTGTTATTCAGCAAAGGAAAAATTCAGAACTCTGACAGAAATATATCAAAAGGGATGTCCAGAAGAGTCCTCGGAATAGTCAACATGAGAGGACATTGGCGATAACTGGATAATAACCCACCCTCCGCTCCTGAGAATGTCTTTCCTTGGACAACATGGAAACTCAGAACGAGGAAGGGAAAGGGGCCGACGCCGAAGACCCCTTCCTGCCTCACCTGAACCTGCAATGCTGTCACTCTCAAGACCACCTCTTCATTTATCAGTCAAGGCGAGCCGCGCTCGTCCACCTGCTGAGGAGGCGGTGCACACACGAGCAGCCGCGCGCACACATCACGGGACACAAGGGCTTCCTCCTGCACCCAACCTCCGCCACGGCCCCGCACACGCCCGACTCGCTAGGCTCCCTTAACGCCAGCTCACCAGGCCCGGCTTCGTCCTCGTGAAGGCAGGAACCTCGGTGGTCGCTGAGCTCCGGGCGTGTCAGCCCACCCGGCCTTCCAGAACGACCCCGGCTGCGGGAGAGGGAGAGGCACAAAGGCCTCGCCTGTCGGCACCCAGGCCAGACCTCAGCTGAACAGAGGAGCCCTGCGTGCATCCTCCCCTCCCACGGTGTCCCCCTCCTGCGGCCCCCGCCCCCCAGGCGTCCCCGTCCCCTCCCCGCGTGGTTTCCCACATCCGGACGCCTGACCAGGTGGAGGTGGAAGGCTGGGGGCCGCCTAACACCTGTCCTGGCACCTGTCCTGCGTCTGAGGCCCACGTCCCCCTCTGCCGGGTCCGCTTCCCTCCTTTCCCCTCCGCACCTGCCGGACCCAAGAGCGCTCCCTAAGGAGCATCTGCACATATTACCATCTCAAAATCTGCTTCCCGGGCTTCCCTGGTGGCGCAGTGGTTGGGAGTCCGCCTGCCGATGCAGGGGACCTGGGTTCGTGTCCCGGTCCGGGAAGATCCCACGTGCCACGGGGGCGGCTGGGCCCGTGAGCCATGGCCGCTGAGCCTGTGCGTACGGAGCCTGTGCTCCGCAACGGGAGAGGCCACAACAGTGAGGGGCCCGTGTACCGCAAAAGAAAAATAAATAACTAAAAGAAAGGATTGGTAAAAAGAAAGGATTAGGAGTGGCCCGGGTTCAATCCCTGATCCGGGAACAGAGATTCCACGAGCCGTATGGCTCCGCCAAAAAAAACAAAAAAGAAAAAGGGGA